TTTTTTCTTTTTCGTATTTCTCATTCGATTCGAATATGCAAATAGAACAATTGATTAGTGTGTTAAGGTCACATTTTGAATTTCAATACGATTGCTTGCTTGCTGGCTTGCTTGCTATACTGCTAAAACAGACGACGACTACGATATCTCGCTTCATATTAACTATTATCATTCCTTTCCTACTACTATTACTATTATTAGTGACATCGCCTCTTGCTTACTATTTTCTTAATTAGGCGATTCTGAACTGACCCAATTGTCCGTGTTGCGCATTCGAGAAATGTATCTTGCAATGTAGAAATTACTTTACATATTCGCAATTTCAAAAAGGTTAATGTAGGCAGAACATGCGCACGTCCACGAGGATGTAAGACGTCTAGCTCGTCCTTCGATATTTTAATCACCATCCTTCATCGCATCTGCAAATGTAATACATTTAAAAAAACAAACAAAAATCGCAATCTGCACTTCATAGATTATTAAATTACACAAAGTTTCTAATTACAAACTTACGACATCCTGATTTTATGCCGACAATGGCAATCCGGTAAACACATGTGCTGGATTGGTTGCGTCCGAGCGCGCCTTCGAAACTTTCAAATAAAACTTTTCAAAATGTGTCAGAGGGTAGATTACTTCTCGGGCGAAATAAAATTAGAAAGAGTGAAGAAAAGAAGCGAAAGAAGAGCTCAACTCACGTGCAGTCAGATGTAAAGTAGATGGAGATAAATACGGACGAATACGGAAACGGATCCTCTCCACTCGTGCGTCTTTTGTTCTTGACTAGAGAATTCCCTCCGTACAAATGCGTACACCGAGGTGTCTCCTCTGTGGACGTATGCAAATTTCCCCAATTTCAGTCTGGATGACAACAACAACGACGATGATGATGATGAAGATGATGTAAAAAATAATCGGTTGGTAGCACTTTCGATTTCCCAATTTTTTTTGTTTTTCTTTTGTTAATTATACTCACCCGTTGTCAACGTTATTGTTTGCGTCGGTTGTTGTTATCGTTGTTGTTACGTCAGTCTGAAGAGAGAGATGTATCGCATTTTGGCGAAGATGCTGCGGGTTCTTCTCTTCCCTCGACGCGGAGGTTGCTGCTACGCAGTCGATTGTGCCCGGATCAACCCCGCCGCCGCCGCCGCCGCCACCACCTTCCGTTCCGTACCTATCATTTTTTCTCTCCTCTCATCACATTTGCTTCTTTTTTTATATATTAATTAATACATTATTTTCTTATTCTTTTCAGGTTAAAGTAGTCAAGTTCAGTTATATGTGGACCATAAACAACTTCAGTTTTTGCCGGGAAGAGATGGGAGAGGTGCTAAAATCTTCGACGTTCTCCGCTGGCGCCAATGACAAACTCAAATGGTACGTGTTACAAAAACAAACAAAAAACATATTGCACGCGCGCATGTAACTACTTCAATCGTCATTAGTGTAAAATGCTGTTGTGTTGTTGCCTTGGTGATATGTGCATTAACGTTCGCCTTAACGTACAGATAGGCCAAATAAATGTACACGTGATAATGAAATTATCTGCACAGACACATTTTTGTAGGCACGCGGGCGAATCAATTCCTGCTGACATTCGAATTACGCAACTCCTCTGCATATCGAAAAATTCAATAACTTTGCACGTTTCTTCTTCCATCTGCAAAGTGTAGAGCAAGTAGAGGTTGTTGCTTTTTTTTTTTGTAAGAGAGGAGTCTCTCAATTTTCTCGAGTGTGGGTAGCAGCAGCTACATTATATCTGGTGGGTGTTCGCATTCAGGTCACTAGACTGCGTGTTGTGTACTCTTCGATTGTATCATCTGCGTCTACTCTGGCTGGCTTCACTCTGTCCCACATATTTACGGGCCATCTAATATTCGATAGGTTTAATGAGGCAATCCTTTTATTACTACGATTGCAGTAAATGTTTTAAAAATTGCTAATAATTCGTTCCCAATATTTTTTGGATATTTAATTTTCGCTTTCACTTTCACCCGTAAGCATGCACGCACGCACATTTAGCAACCTTATTCTTGGTGTATGTAATAATAATAATAATGTACGTTATAAGATTTCGTGCATAAATCGCGAATTTCTATCTGCATCTCTTCGACTTCGATGCTCGCGCACCTTTGTTCTGTTTTTTTTTTAAACTTATGTTCCTTTCGGCCAGATCTGCCCCACAAAAAATGAAGTTATGAATATTCGCGCGACGCGAAACTTTCTACAAGACCAAGACTTACATGTATATATATATCTATATATACAGTTTCGTATTTGTACAGTCCATTTCGCACCTCTCTGTCGAAATATAGGCTATGCGGAGGAATGGTAATTCTCTCTTTCTCACACGCTGCGATTGATCAATTCACTAATTTAGAATACGTAACGTATAGGAGAAAAGAGTTGTAGTAGTCGATGGACGTATTGCTTCGTCGTGTATTTCGTTTGCATGCTATGAATTGATTGAATTATCTAAATCTTTTCCATCAAGCTTATTACGTGAAATGAGCCGAATGCACACACACACACACAGTCGACAATGGGCAATAATTGATTGTATTCCTTTAGGCCTTAGCTTTATCGATTAGAATCGTTCGTTCAGTAAAGTATGTGTGTGTGTATGTAGTATTTTTACTTTAAACGAGTGTTCGTCTCTTTTTCTATCTATCTCAGTCGGACCAAGCAACCTTGGTTGGTTCTGAAGGTTGCGCCCAACAAATAATTTAATATTCATTAATAATACAAGCTAAGCAGAACAACAAACAACAGCAGCGACAAAAAAATAATGAAATGATGTGTACTTGTATACATAGTATACACATGGTGCCCTTGTTCGAGTCTCTGGTTTTGTCTGGAATCTGTCTTCCGAAAACTTTCGCAAAAGTATTATTTATGTAACATCAGCAGCAGCAGCAGCAACAGCACCAGCAATATAAAAGTATTTACCTTGAGCGGTAAAACGTTTATAGTACTATAGTAATAATGACCTTTTTCACTAAGAACGAACCAGTCGAGAGTGGCGCTTATATGACGACGACGACAACAACAACAACAAAGAGACAAGGCTCAATGGAAACTGGATCTCTCTCTCTGTTTATCACTTCTTAAATTATGTCTGTCTTGTTCATCAGAGATATCGTACATATTCTTCAGAGTAGTATTGATCGTTAATAATAATAGTGAAAAGTTGATTTATTTAAATTGCAAGTCGCCTTGGCATTATCCATTTATCTATCTTGCTTCCGTTTTGATGGAATGTATGTTCGTTCATTCTCAGTTTGCCACTGTTAATATTTGTTTTTAATGTGTTTCAGGTGTTTGCGGGTGAATCCAAAAGGACTGGACGAGGAGAGTAAGGACTATTTATCGTTGTACTTGTTGTTGGTGTCGTGTAATAAGAGTGAGGTGCGCGCAAAGTTCAAATTTAGTATATTAAACGCGAAACGCGAAGAAACAAAGGCGATGGAGAGCCAGAGGGCCTATCGGTTCGTGCAGGGCAAGGACTGGGGTTTCAAGAAGTTCATTCGAAGAGATTTCCTTCTGGACGAGGCCAACGGTCTTCTGCCGGACGACAAGCTTACCATTTTTTGTGAAGTAAGTAAATACCATCATCAATTTACACATACGTATTTGACCTCAGACGAGATCATCATCATCATTACAATATTACATAAGCATCATCGCATCGTCGTCAACTCGGTGAGACGGACTCCCCAGACATTTGCTTTGCCTTTGCTCCCTTTGCATTAGCATTGACGAAATAATTGCGGCAAAATCATTGACCGTGAGGGCTGTCTCGAATACACATCATCAACATGTCGTGTATTTCGAATTCCATCTCTACACCTTGATGGAAATAGTAGAATGATCAGAAAAAAAATGTATGTCTACTATCTAATTACATTGTTCACTATCGATGATTGCTTCAAGTCTTGACCAAATTGTAAAACACTGTTAAAAATAATAAATAAATCGGCGCACATAACGGTTATATGCACGTTCGGAGAGCGAATTATTTCGATCAATTATCGAGTAATCAATTTAGCGGAGTTGAGAGAGAAACGAAGTGTCGTCAAACGCTACTAAATTTTTTTTAAACGTTTTTTTCTTATAATTTGCAGGTGAGCGTTGTGGCAGACAGTGTGAATATTTCGGGTCAGTCGAACACGGTGCAGTTCAAGGTGCCCGAGTGTCGATTGTCCGACGATCTGGGACTGCTCTTCGAAAACCAAAAATTTAGTGATGTTACGCTATCGGTATCTGGTAGGGAATTCCAAGCACACAAGTCAATTTTAGCAGGTAAACTTTTAATACTCATCATACATCATCGTCATCATGACGATAGATAATGATAATGATGTTGATCAGAATCTTAATACTTATATTCTTCATTTCGCACACAGCAAGAAGTCCCGTTTTCCAAGCGATGTTCGAGCACGAGATGGAGGAGCGAAAGCACAATCGGGTGGACATAACTGACGTGGACCACGAGGTGTTGCGGGAAATGCTGCGCTTCATATACACGGGGAAGGCGTCGAATCTGGAGAAGATGGCCGATGATCTTCTCGCGGCTGCGGACAAAGTACGTCGAATAGCATATTATATTTTTAACAGATCGTGCATTCGTCGCCCGGCGCATCCACCACACCTTCTCTGTTTGTTTCCTTTTATTTTTGTTATTTATATTTTCTCTCTTCTTGTTGCAGTACGCATTGGAAAGATTAAAAGTGATGTGCGAGGAGGCGTTATGTACAAATTTATCGATAGAGAACGCTGCTGACATCCTTATCCTGGCAGACCTGCATAGCGCCGATCAACTCAAGGCTCAGGCAATCGATTTCATAAATACGTAAGTGTTTGATTTTTCAATCAAAAAAACAAACAAACAAACTCACATTCGTATTATTTTGCAGACACGCGACGGATGTGATGGATACGCCCGGTTGGAAGTCCATGATTCAGACGCACCCGCACCTCATCGCCGAAGCGTTTCGTGCTCTCGCAACACAACAAATCCCGCCAATCGGACCACCACGTAAGCGAGTGAAACAGAGCTGAAGCCCGTAGCTACTGCATATAGCATAAACAGCAGCAGCAGCAGCAGCAACGACAGCGACAACAGCAAACAAACAGACGGAACAGACATTATAAACAATCTTACAAACAAACAAACAAACAAAAAAAAACATAAACCAAAAGAAACCAACAAACATCATCAATCAATCAAACAAACAGTCAACAAAATATACAATACAACATACTACTACTACTACTATTATTAGTACAACAGACGGACAGCGTAATAGAAGCAACGTGTTTTCCTTGCATCTTCTTGCACAGTTCTTGTATGGACGGGATCACAACTCCCCTCGATTCCGCGGTGGCAGACGACGAAGAAGAAACCGATGATGACGATGATCATCGGATAGCACCAGCAGCAGCAGCAGCAAGTGCGTTTACTTTGATCGCGGTCCGAAATAACCCGATGAGATGAGACCTAACGCATTTGGAGGAAAAAGAAAGAGAATGAAATGGAAAGCGAAAAAGAAAACAAAATAATAATAATAATGATAAAATTAAAATAGTGCCAGAGACTGTGCTTAAATGTGTTCATACCTAGAATGAATGAAAGAGGACATGTGTGCGAATGAAAGAGAAGAGAATTAAAGTTAAAACAAAATAATAATAATTGAAACGAGTAAAAGATAGTGAGAGACAGACACTTGGAAAGAAGTGATTTTATTTTTTAACTTTCCGAGGTTACGTTAGTAATATATATATATTAATTATTACGTTTCATTTATTTTCTTTTGCGTGCGGCTGTGTGTGTGTGTGTGTGTGTGTGTGTGTGAGTGTATTTCGTTATTTGTATAATTAATATCTTGCAGTTTGTGTTTTTGCCGCTGTGCGAGTGAAGAAATACTAGTGACGAAAGTACACACACACAGAGAGAGAGAGAGAGAGAGATGAAGTAAGATGATAATGATGATGCCAACTACTTAACCGATTTTCTAATTTTTTAGAAGAAAAGTAAAAGCAAATATAAACAAATTGAACAACACAAAATAAGAGAGCTGAGATCTCCACTCTATATTCTGCTACATTATCCAAACAAGCCTCCATGTATACCAAAAATTTAAATAAATACTAAACAGTAGCTTACCGCACACACACTCACACACACACACTTGTATATATATATGGATGAAAAGTAATTGAAGTCGTACAGACACACTACTTAAATGTTTTGTTATTTTGTATATATTTATATATATAATGAGATGATGATGATGTTGATGATGATAGATAGGGTGAGAAAGTAATTGTATGTATGCGTGTGAAAGGAGGGATGAAAAGGATAGAAAGAGAGAGAGAGAGAGAGTGAGAGTGCGTGTGTGCATAGAACCAAAACACCGAATCATCTTTTGTTGTTTCTATTCTGTCACCGCCTCCTGCTGTATTTCTAGATTATCCGGGGGTGCGATGCATACCTTTATAACATAAATAAGAAGATGAAGAGATGAATGAGTTCCAAAGAGGAGGGAAGGGAAGAAGTAATTGAAATTGTGTATAGATGTATTTTTTAAGTAACGATTTGTATAAATAAAACAAAAAAAAAAAGAAACCAGAGGAAGAATGAAGAAAAAAGAAAAAATATTACATGCAAAAGTGCAAGAAAAATCTTTTGATAAGGCGATTGATTTAATTGATTGATTATTATTATTATTGTTTGTATTATTTTTGTTTTATATATAGAAACGAACGCGCGATCATTGAATGAAACACGTTTTCCAACGAAAAAACAACAAAAACATGAAATTGTCCTCTCTACCGCTTCTCCTTTTATCATAATCTAACCACACACACACACATTTTGTTGTCATCAATTGTTTCGTTTGCTGTTGCTATGTAATGATGATTCTGTGTTTCTAAATCTTTTGTCTTCTGGACAAGCAAACAAACCAACACGAAGTATTGTGCATATATATGTGTATGTATATATATTTAATGATTATTACGAGAGAGGGAGAGAGAGAGGGAGTTTGTATGTTGTGTATGTAAGTATGTATGTATGTGTGTGTAATTATTGTTTTAATATTATTATTTTTTTTTTGTTCGTTTTGTTTGTGTTTGTGTTTTTTTTTTGTTTGTTGTTTATTTGTGAGAAAGAGAGCGAGAGAGCGAGAAAGAAGGAGGAGGAGGAGGAGAAGAAGAAGATGAAAACTCACTGTCCCACTCAAACAAAGTTTAAAGATAACAGAATTGTGATATAAACGACCACAGCTTGTTCCTATCGAGGGACTTTACATCCTCTACTATATTGTTTAAGTTTAGCTTATTAATTATAATTGTAATTACTAATAATGATCTCTCTGAATAAGCTAAGGTCAATGTTTTACATTTATTATTATTATTATTTTTTAAATTCAATGTTTAGAACTACTTACTTACTATTTCTTTTTATTTTGTTTTTGATTTATTTCCGAAAAATCCCCAGACCCAGAAAACCAACCCTTATCCTCGACCCCATCCCCTCCCCTCCATCATCATCAACAACAACAAAGCTTATCTATCCACACCCTCACCACCACGTACACACACACACACACTTACAAAAATAATTGAATCGAAATCAAAATGCCTTCGTTTTTCTGTTATTCTCTTTCCTTGTTTTTCATTTACATTCATATATATATATATAAACTTCCTGCGTGAATTTCTAATTTAATTAATTTCCGGTTGTGTAAACAAAGTGAAACAAGAAGAAAATGAGTGTTTCTACACCTACGCGATTCCTCCTTTCAAACTGTTGTTCTTTTAAAAGAGACGCGATGTACTCTTCCACCACCATTTCTTCGTCATATTTTTCTTTAAATTCAACTATTTTCTTTTTCCTGTATTCGCGGCGGGGTTGTCGGTCGTCTTTTTGTTTGTTTTTTTTTTTCTTCTTTTCTTCATTATTTGTACTTGTAAGTGTTAGTTCATTATAAGTATTATTAAAGACATATCTGTTGACCTTTTAATATTCCTTGATTCGATACGACATCGGTTTAAATTGTTTGTTTATATATATATAAGCGAAATGTTATCATCAATGTCTTCTTCGGATGGGTGTGGCTAAGCAGTTACGCAACGCGCGTCTCTCTCTTGAATCCTGCATTACAACATGCTAAATATGATATTGCTACGTGCATTCAGATCTTGACCAAACACAAGTTTACGTTGATTCAAAGCAGGCATGCTGGTCGTAGTAACATGGTCATGGGTTTCCCCACTTATAAAATCAATTTGATTACATATCATGGTGCGCATGAAGTTGCCTATATCGTCACACTCGAACATCCGTTTCCTGCACTGATAAGTATTATTATGATTTTTCAATTACAAATTGAATATTGAAAGTAAGTTAGATAAGTAATTAAGTTGTTGTAATTAAATTGTAAAAGGAGGAGGTAGTAGTATTTCGAAAATGAGCGGCAAAATGCGACGGAAAGATGGCGCCTCGTTCAGAAGTGGTGCGCGTCAGGTCACGACGCATCGTCGGCCGGCAGCAGCCAGCAGCAGCAGCGCCATATTGACAAATAGGCGGTTGCTGTCGTACTCTATATAGAATAGTGTAGTTTCAATAGAAACCGGAATACTACTACGCATACGTTCGCAGAGAGACGTTCGCGGTTGTCGTGTGACGAGGGAGAGAGAGAAAGAGAGAGTGGAGGAAAAGAGATAGAGCGATCGAGGAAGGAGGAAGAACTGTATGTTTTGTCCATCTGTCTGTGCGTGCATGAGTGTTTGTGTGCGTGCGATCGTAGAGGACTCAGAAAAGTGTGGACGAAGAAGTAGATAGAAGAAAAGTGGTGTCCGCCGCGGCTATCGCGACCTCACCTTACTACTACTACTACTACCACTACTTTGCAACCAATCAAATCGACGACGAACTGTCGAACTGGTCTGTCAAATCAGAGCGTTGTTGAATTACGTTTTCCACCATCCTGGAAGCAACACCACAGATATATTGTTGCGTGCTGCTGACCGAAACAGAAAAATAAATAAATATTAATATACATATTTACACGCACACGCACAGCCAACAAACAACATTCGTTTGTATCGAAAGACGACACACTCACACACACGTACGAGAACGTCAAATAATACGTATACACATAGAAGAGACTGGTGCGCTCGCGCGCTCTTACACACACACATACACTCACATATATATATATAGTGTAGAGGTGTGTGTATTGTGAGTGTATGCAAAAGTCGTCCCCTCCTTGGTGTGTGTGTGTGTGTGTGCGTGAATAAGGAAAATGATCTAATAAGCGCTGAAGTCTTCTTTCCTTCCCTCTAATCCTGTTTGACTCTGGTGTTTCGAATGTGCATTGGATTGGCTTCGCTCGTACACCGCACACCGCTGCAATCGAAAAAGACGCACACACAACGGCGAGTGTTGTGTAGCGCTTCTTCTTCTTCTTCTACTCCTCCTCCACTGCCGCCGCCGCCGCCGCCACCTCTTTATCCTTCCTCCTCTGTCACCCAGTCGTCGTCGTCGTCGTTCTCGTCCTCGTCGTCGACATATTCGTACAGCAGTAGCAGCAGCAGCAGCAGTCGTTCGTTTCATTTATCGTCGTCGTAGTCGTCGTTTTCGGTGAATCCGCTTAACGTAATGGGATTAAGTGCGGCGCAAACGGAGCCACTGTAAAGGAGAGAGAATGTTACTGTTCAAAACTGAACTGCACCACACCCAAGTGACAACCGGAGTGCACTGCGATCCTCGTCGCCACCAATAACCCCAAATCAAGCGCAGCAGCCGATCACCTTCATCATTATCATCATCATTAACATCGTATCGTATTCGCAATACAAGTTATTCACATCATTACAAAATCATCGTCATTGTCGAGATTTGCTATTATTGTCCGTCGATCCGCCGCTCTGTTGTTGTTCGTCCGGCGCAAGCAAGCGCTGCTGCTCTGAGGACGAGAAGCAGGAGCAGTAGTAGTAGGAGGAAGAGGACACGTATCAATCGTATCCCAGTTTTGTGGCAGCAGAGAGGAAAAGAAAAGTAAAAGCAAATCCGATCAAATTGGATTCTCCTCTCCACTCCGGTACGTGAAAACAGGTGCACCTAACCCTACTAAAGAGAAGCGACTCAGCCGCCGATCGTCGTCGCATCAGCAATCGCGATCGACATCATCATCATCATTATTGTCATCATTCCTCCTACCTTTGACTCTGGAGACCGCGTGGATGCGAGCGACGTCGAGCCCCAAGTCCATCCACCAAAAGTATGACCATGTCCTGTTGCCAATCAGATGAAGTTAGGGAACAGAAGCGCATCAACCAGGAGATTGAGAAGCAGCTCAAAAGGGACAAGAGAGATGCCCGGAGGGAACTCAAGCTGCTCCTGCTCGGTAAGCACCATCACCAAAATTATTAATAAACACACACATAATCTTACATAACACAAACCAACAAATAACATAACAAAACACACTTCCCCCTGGCAACTGTCACAATCGCATCCTTGGATTGGTCAACAATCAGTTCACATGTACCACTTGATATTTGAGATTGCAAACAAAACTAAATGCAACGAAACATTGCGCTACTCATGAACTCTCTCTCTCTCTCACCCTCAAACTGCTTGCTCATTGATATCGATAGTATGTGTGTGTGTGTGTTCCATAAGGAATAATGAAATTCACGTTTCAATTGATTTTATGGGAACTATGGGATGTGTTCGATGTGCAAGTAAACTGATTTCAAGGGAAATATCATACATTTTGTTTGACCTTTAACTATCATCTTGGTTTTAACCTAAATTCGTTATCTGTTTATAATGGTGGATTTATAATATAATATTGACAGAAAACTCATCCTATCTATGCGTCAATAACATATTTTTGCCTTTCAGATAACCAAGATATGTGTGTGTGTGTGTGTATGTATGCGTGTAAATTACATAAAAATCTACAAGTTTATATTTATTTGTAATGACTGCTTTCATTTGTGTGTATAAATATTTCAATAGTGTTAAACTGATAACATTCAATGTTTATGTTAATTATAACAAAAATTGTTACACAAATGCCATATATATATACTAATATATAGTACATGAATCACATATATATATATATAAACTTAACTAAATAATCAGTTGTGACACATGACACATTGAATGATATCCCTTTTAGAGTATGTGTTTTGACCAGTAATGAATTGCACCTTGAATTTGAATTTAAATACAAAATAATACTTCTCTGCTCCTCAGTCTTTTTGCATGGCTTCTCCATGTCTCCAAATATCTTTCAAATCCAATTAGCTCCCTTACATAATTCCATTTATCCTTTTAAATCCTGCACAAGGTTCATGATTCGATTAACTTTGATGCTCCACCAATATTTATGTATGTATAATGGTGATAATATTAATATTGAAAATAATAATAAATATCCCAAATGGGAGGAGAAGGGTAGTCTATGTAATTGAAAGTTGCATGTCTCAAAACATAATTCAAAAAAGAAAAAAGGGTGAGTAGGGTGAGGGGGTCGTGACTCATGACATATCATGCGATCACTTAGATTTCCCCAGTTCACTGTTATTTTATTTAATATAAATAATCAACTATTAAGCAATCATTGCAAGAAGAAGTAATGGGTATAGATGTAATAGTAGGCTATTTTCATGATATTTAATAATTGTGGGTGTAGTGCCAATTTGATTTAGCGATAAAAAAAAAACGAGTCGTCGACGGTTGCTGCTGCCACGTTTGATTTCGGTTATCTTTCTCGCCTACGAGCAAATACATGTGTATTTGTAGCCTTTCGCTAGACTGCGACGATAACTGCGTTCAACTGTGCTATGGTCTAGCTCAGTGTTTCTCCAACTTTTTGGTCCGCGACTTACAAACATTTAAAGGATGTGTAGAAAAACATACTGTTCCGTCTGTCATCAATTTGTCCGTGACCCCAACCCCCCCTTTTAAGACTATTTCACATTCCAAGTCTGTTTGGTATCCTGTTACTGCTGCTGTGTATTATAGTTACCTAGGAGATGATGTTAATAATTATCGTTTCCATGGCATTGAGTGTATTTTCATTTCGAGCAATTTTGCAGCAATCTATGAACGTATGTGTGTGTGTGCAGGATTTTTCGTCGTTCCCTGTAAATTGGTTGGTGGTGACCGCGGATTCGATAAGCTTTATCTTTACTATACGTCGTCGTTATCAATAAACAATTCATTATTATCCACGATTTCATATGAATATCTTTTTCAATCTAAATAATATATTATTACTCTACTACTTTATTTGAGGTATTAATACTAATTATGCATTATGTTTGTATGTTAAAAGGAACTGGAGAGTCGGGAAAATCGACGTTTATCAAGCAGATGCGAATCATCCATGGCGCTGGTTACTCAGACGAAGATAAGCGGGGCTTCATAAAGCTGGTCTATCAGAATATATTCATGGCAATGCAGAGCATGATACGGGCGATGGATCTGCTCAAGATCAAGTACGCTGAAACGAGCAACATTGTAAGTAATAGTAGTAGTAGTAGTATAGCGGCGGTCGGAAACCTGGGGCGCGGCGACCCTCCTTTGCTCAGTCAATGTCCATTGGATATGATTTGTGTGTGCGTGTTCGATTGCAGGAGAAAGCCGAACTGATCCGAGGCATCGACTTTGAGTCGGTGACGACGTTCGAAACCCCGTACGTGGATGCCATCCAGGACCTGTGGAACGATTCCGGTATACAGGAATGCTACGACAGAAGAAGGGAATATCAACTCACCGATTCTGCAAAATAGTAAGGAAAATAGAAGCGTTTTCACTTTGCCTTTACTTTACGAGAGATGAATTTCATTTCTGATATGTGTGTGTGTGTGTCTGGTTGCAGCTATCTTTCGGATCTTGACAGAATACGGGCCGGCGACTATTTACCAACGGAACAGGACATCCTGCGAGCACGAGCACCCACGACGGGTATCATAGAATATCCCTTCGACCTGGACTCTATCATATTTAGGTAACCCATCGCCCATCACTAGCAAAATGAATATGTTATTACAACCATCGGGTTCTTTCTTGTTCGTGCAGGATGGTAGACGTCGGCGGACAAAGATCGGAAAGAAGAAAGTGGATCCATTGCTTCGAGAATGTCACCAGCATCATCTTTCTCGTCGCCCTGAGCGAGTACGACCAAATCTTGTTCGAATCCGAGAATGAGGTGCGTGCGTTACTTTCAAATCATGATCGATTTCATCATTATCATCACCATCATCGTCATCATCATCATATTCATCTGACTGATTTGTGCCGTTTTCATTTCAGAACCGCATGGAGGAATCCAAAGCATTGTTTAAAACTATCATCACGTATCCATGGTTCCAACATTCGTCCGTGATTTTATTTTTAAACAAGAAAGACTTGCTCGAGGAGAAGATCATGTATTCGCATCTCGTCGACTATTTCCCGGAGTACGACGGTGAGTCTCTTCTCATATTTTCATATGTTCCACATATTGTTACACTTTTGTCTCATCAACAACATTATAATAATAATTAACAATGTTTACTGATGATGATGATGTAAAAAGGACCGAAGCAGAATAACGTGCTGGCCCAAGAGTACATCTGTAAGGTGTACCTTCGAGAGAATCCGGACCCGGAGAGGAGCTGCTACTCTCATTTCACGACCGCCACAGGTTCTGAATACCAACCAAACAGTCGATTATGATCGAGCAGTAGTTGATCATCATCCTTTAACGCTAGAATACTTAACGCTCATTGAATAGTTGCTCAGCAGTTCATTTTCAGATGGACTTTCCCATTATTGCTGTCTCTCTCTTGTATTACTTTGTATTCGTTCGTTCCATCCTTGTTTGTATTTGGCTAGAGTCGTGTAAAAAACGGACACCGTTTCTGTTTTTTTTTTTTGATTATTGTAGGACCTCAGAGAGACGCGATCGCCGCTAGGGAATTCATCCTCAGGATGTTTGTAGACTTAAACCCCGACAGTGAAAAAATCATATACTCACACTTCACATGCGCCACAGGTAAATTGCAAATTACATTACACAATATACATCCATCCGTTCAAACATTAAACATACAATGATCATTAGAGAGTTTGTTAGGTGTGGTGGTAGTCAAAAGTTAAAAGTATTTAAATTGGTGCACTTGACCGTAGTTTGCAGCTTTTCGCTTTTTTTTATTTTGTTTGCTTCTTTGTTTGTTTTCCGCACGTTTCAACTTGTTATCTTTTTAATTATTTTAACATGGGTGTTATTTTTGATTTTGCATGTCTTGCATGTCGTCGACTGCTGCTGCTATCACTGCAGATACCGAGAACATTAAGCTCGTGTTCTGCGCCGTCAAGGATACCATCATGCAGACCGCCTTGAAGGAATTCAATTTAGCTTAAGTCGTTATTGTTCTTCAGTTCGGATTTGTACTCTCCGGATTGTACCCTTAGCTTTAGCAACTTTATTTAACTCTTTAATCATTTGGATTCTCCATATACAATTAACATCTCATTTTCGGAATGTATTTCATTCATCTGTTGCTCTGTCTTCTGTCTTCTTCGCTGCATGTTCGTTCATCCACCTACATTTTCTATATGAATCGAGTGTTGAAAGAAATTTAATTTAATCTCTGATCGTTTCTCTTTTCTCTGTGTGTGTGCGTTCGTGTTCGTACGTATGTTTTCCAGATACCGAGAACATAAAGTTCGTTTTCGCCGCCGTCAAAGACACGATACTGCAATCCAACTTGCGTGAATACAACTTGGTGTAGAAGAGGATGACCATCTGGGCACGGCGACGTCGACGACGACGAAGAAAAAGTCTTCCGATGACGACGACGACGATGGTGATGATCATCATCAATATCATCGTCGGCGGCGACGACGGAGCCCAGCACCAGCAGAGCAGCATCAACAAATAATACATTATATATATATACATACATATATATATATACAAATAATAATTCGTGCGAGAGAAAGAATATAACTATATATATATATATATATATATGTGTGTGTGTATATGTATATACACATATTTAAGGAAGGAAGTAAAACAAAGTGTGCGTATATGTATATATATATATAAGCAACCAAGTGTACGTGTCTTTGTGGGTGTGCGTGTGTATGTATGCAAGTATATATATATAGTAACGGAAACAAACAAAAATATTACAAGTAATGTATGCGAGTGTGTGTGTGTGTTGCGATTTTAAAAGTATATATATATACATATATAGATTTTTGAAATAGATGCGCGAGATGAGGGAATAAGAAATATATATGAAATGTGATGTAATTCTACTACAATTGCTACTACTAACTACTATATTACTACGTTTTTACAATGACGATGATGATGATGAGTGGATGATTTTGCTTCCTTCTTTTCTTTTTGTTTTTGTTCTATATTTATGTGTGTGTGTGTGTGTGTGAATATATATATATATATACATATACAAATATAAGAATGATGGTGGGTCGGTGGGTGGTTGTTTTGTTTGTTCGGAGTCACGAGAGGGCGTACCAAAGAGGACATCCGTGTTCGACTTAGGCTGATTGCTTAAATAAGCTCGCGCCACCACTCGCATAATATTTGTATCTATTTAATATTGCATGTATACATACACACACACACACATATATATGTAAATGAAATGTGTGTGTGTGTGTGTGTGAATGGAGTGGAAAAGAAGAGAGGCGCGCCAGTTTTCTTCGCCCAACGTACGTGTACCACCATCATCACCACCAACACCACCACCACGTCAACCCCCCCATAAAAAAGAACGTTTTTCTTTTCCGTGTAATAAAGAGTGTGTGCGCTTAGCTTCAGTGATGACACGTCGTTTCAACTACGCCTCCACAGCATAATCATATTTATATTTATATATATATATATAAAGTGCCATTATTTTCGTTTCGTCCTTTTTGTTTTTGTTTTGGTTAGGTGTTCACGTTCGATATGCGTGCGTGATTGTTGTTTTATAATATTACTGTATTATTATTACTATTATTATTATTATTTACGAGAAACATTGTATAAAGACTATCTCTAATCAATCTATTTATATATATCTACACACACACACATACATACATTTACATATATATAATTAGGTGATTATCGACGATGAGGAAAAAGTACTAACAGTGTTTTGAAGAAGACGAAACGAAGAAGCTAGTGCTACATTATATATATATATATGTATATTTCATATTAATATACTTGAAAAGATAATGATGAGTCGTACTCGTTCGGAATGCGTTGCTCTTCTTCATTTTTCTTCTTTCTTTTGTTTTTGTTTTTTTTTTTCAATTCAATTCTTTTCGATGCCATTTTGTATGTTATATCATAAGTTTCCATGGTAATGAAAATAGCAAAGAGAAATACGCGCGGCTTGCTCCGACTGAAAAAAACGATTATATGTGAAAAGAATAAGAATGATGACGACGATGTATGTGTGTGTGTGTGTGGCGGTAGATGTTTGAGTTAATATATAATTATTGGGCGAAGAAGAAGAAGAAAAAGAAAGGGCGGGCGACTTGCGTGGGGATAATATGTACATGAAAATCATAATCGGAAATATAAATGTATAACTACTACACTACACGAGAATGAGAATATATATATATATATATGTGTGTGCGTGTGTGTGTACATGTATATTGATATACACATATATGTATATATTTGCATACAATATATACATAGTATTGTTATTTATAATAATATTAAATTAATGTAGACTAGAATTTAAGAATGAAAAGCGAAAGGGAAAAGTTGTTCGAAGAAGAAGAAAAAGAAAAAAAATGCAATTGATGAGATGAGATGATGAATTAAGAGATGGAGAGAGAGAGAGAGAGAGTGCTGCGGAAAGTTACGATTTCCTTTTGTTTATCAAATCGTCACTTTGATCTTTCCCTCCTTTTACATACGCATCTTATATAAATATATTTATTAATGTATGTGTGTGTGCGTGTGTGTGTGTATGCATGGATATAGCAAAATAACAAACGCAAAAGATTTTTGTTTTTTCTATTATTATTATTTTGAAACGGAGCGTCGTTTTCCGATTGGGGGAAAAAATAGAAACATGAAATTCTGTTGCGCGACTAAAATTATTTTTTTTTTTTTCAATTTACTGTAATTGCTTTCATATTTTACCGAAGACAATGAGAGAAGGAAGAGAAGAAAAAAGGAAAAAAAAAAGAAGAGAAAATTATTATTTATTTGTTTATTTCTTGTTTATCTTTTATTATTATTATTATTAACTATTATTATTATTATTGATAATTTTATTTCGATTGTTTTTATTTTATCTTCCATTTATTATCGTATATGTCTATATTATATATATGTGTACATTTGTTTTTCTTTTCTCTTTTATTTCCTCTCTTCTGTTTTCTTCTCAGCTCGAGCAGACTCCTCCCACGAGACACGCCCACCATCCAATTACGATCCACCCCTTTCACAACAATTTAATTAAAAATTTATCATACTGTATGCATGTGTGTGTAGACAAGATAATAATCTCGTTTGCATTATTATATGTTGCTTTTGTTGTTGTAATTTGTATGTCTTGCTTAATTCTCTTTAATTTGTTTCACTCTTTCGAAACTCCCCCCTTTCTCACTCTCTCTCTCTGCCTCAAAGATTGGTACGTCGCGTTATGTGTGTGTGCGCGCGTGTAAAGTCTTTCTCAAAATTGTTCATTAGTTTTGCCTGTGCCGAGAGGTGAGAAAAGCAGATAATTATGAAAGCAACGTTTTCTTTTCGCATCGTAAACCATTAACGGCAAAAATAAGTAACAAAACTGGAAAACAGGAAAGAAAAAAAAGAAAGAAAGGAGACGATGATGAAAAGCGACAAGGATGTTTCATTCATAAAGTGTGTATAATATATATATTTAATGATAATATTTAGGAAGGTATGAATTATTTAATAAACTTTTTAAAACATTTAATCACACATTTTCTTTTCTTTCGTGTGACGATGAAACCAACAAGAAGTATGCAGTTATTTGAATTTAGAAGAAAACAGCACATGTTCTCGCTTGCAGCAGTACTGGTTGCATAGTGTTGATCGTTAGGTCGGTAACGTGTTTGCAGATTGCTGTAATGAGAAAACTTTTGAAATAGTTTGCGTGTCATGTGAGTGGGGTTGTCATAGGTTAACATTGGGTTAACATAACCGATCTTGTTCGTACATTCGGCCGGGCCGGTTTCTTATCATTCTATTCTATTTGACTGGAAATTACGAGTATGTCGTCGACGAAGAGTGGCGTGGTGTATCTACTGCTGGCAATTGGAGCGATCGTGGCCACCGCTGATCTCGAGAGCGTCAACGACGACGAACTACTGAATCTTATTAGAACCGAGAAATACGTGGTCGTCCTGTTCAGTGAGTACACGAAACACGAAACGATTCCTGATAATCAATCGGTTTTTGCGTTATTTACAGCTAAAAGGGATTGCGATGCTTGTGACGATTGGGAGAATGAGCTGTTCGGTTTGAGGGAAGATTTGGTCGATTCATTGGGATCATGGGTTGTCAAGGCACCCAACAGCCAGATGACCAGATTGTACAGTCCAAGCAAGGAACCGGTGCTGGTCTTTTTCAGGCATGGAGTGCCTTTGCTGTACGATGGTATACAATCTCAAACAACAGGTTTTTAGATTTGACAGTGTTAATGTTTGAATAGGTCCGATGAACGATGAGTTGATCTTGCACACTTTCACTCAGAATATGGAGCCACTGGTGAAGGAGCTGAACGATGAAACCTTTGAGCATCTCACTCAGGTGGCTACAGGTGCCACAACTGGGGATTGGTTTGTCATGTTGTAAGTTGTACAGTGCGTACAGGGTACGAAAAATGCAATGTATTATATTATAATATGTTCGCGATTGATTGATTGCAGCTATACGAATGATTGCGTGGACTGCCAAAGGTTCCAGGCACAATGGGAGGCGGTCGGTGCTCAATTAAAGTCGCGTTTGAATGTGGCACGAGTGAACAGAGGAAGCAGCGGCGCCGCTACCGCACGTCGTTTCGACGTTTTCCATGTACCCGCGTTCGTTCTGTACGTTGAACTAAATAATTGTGTATTCTTATTCGTTGAAATTTCTTTATTCTTTATTTCGCAGGTTCCGGCAGGGAAAGATGTACAAATATAACATACACAAGTACGATGTGCCGACGTTCGTGTCGTTCGCTCGTGATTGGTACAAGAATGTGAAGGCGGAGCGAGTGCCCCTCCCAAAAACCCCATTGTAAATCGATAATCATTACCACACCCACACACACTAAATTTTGTCTTTGTTTCAGCGATGATTTGACCGCGATGATCGCCGATTATCTGAGAAGCAACCCCTGGCTGTTTATGGTTGGCATGTTCACGTTCGTGGCCGGTCTGATTGTCTCCCTGGTCATGAAATGTAAACAATCCAAGAAGGCTAAGGAAACAAACAAGTCCAAGAAAAAGTAAGACAGGATGAGACCTTTCCTACCTCTCTCCTCTCTCTCTCTCCCACATCCACGTTTCTCCTCTTCTTCTTCCATTTGTCATTTCCCCCCCTTTTTTTATTTTCATACAGAAAGTAGATCACACGAATATATCTGGAAATAAGAAATATAAAAAACTTTCTATTACTAATAAAAATTGAAAAGAAATCAAGATTTCTGCACCATTCTCTCTCATATTCCACATTAATAATAATAAATAAATAAAATAATGAGCAATCTTTATTCCCCAATTGGAATTTGCAAGAGTGAAAAGGAGATGCAGTTGTGTCCATTTGCTAGTTTAATTCACACACACGCACACAGTAATAACAATAGTAACAAATTGGTAATAAATTAAGCCACTTTATTGCAAATTGATTAAGTAAAGAAGTGTTAGACCGTATCGGCCAGTCTGATGCTGAAGACATTATTGGGGTCCTGCAGACTGGCCTTGACGTTGCTCTCAAACTTCGTCTTTATGTCCGAGAATTCCATCATACTCTTCGGTCTGCACGCCAACCAATGACGATCGAATTCATAGAAGAGGTAGCAGTAGAACTGATGGAAAACGCGAACGCTCGGCACCGCTTTGCACGTATTGTAAACGTAAGTCTTTGCGTGACCGTCCCTCAGCAGTTGCCAAGCCATACTAGTCAGATTGATGCCGACGATGGCGAAGGCGTAACCGTGCACCGGGTGCAGACTGTGCGAGAGGACGTGACTCGCTGGTCCGTTGCCGTATTCGCTCGCAAAGAACAGCAGGTTTTCCAATCCGAGAAGCCCCATACCCCTGAAGTCCGTCTTCGGGTCATCGCCTTGGAATCCGATGTCTTGCCACTGCTTCGTGATCCTGCTGGCGAGCATCTCGTCCGGTCGGAGCGCCTCCCACAGCAGCATCAGCTTGCGCTCGTGCTCCACGTTGTCAGGGTCGTACGTCGTTGTCCTCAGGCTCTCGACGTCGGCGAGCAGTTGCCTGTAGCCCCAGATCTGCTGGATGCAGTGTCCGAAGCTCTTCACGAACTGAAAGTGCACCCTCGGATTGATCCTCTTCACCAGAAGCACCGTGCTCACGGCGCCGCTCACTATCTCCCTTCCATTCTGGCCGACGAATCGGTGATTGTCGCTCACGTTGTTCAGATGGGCGATCAGCTGTGCAATCTGCGGGGACCTGGACGCCCCCAGTGATTTCTCGACCGCTCTCACCCTCGGTGCCCCACTCACCGCTCCGTAGCAGATCCTCTGCAGCTCGCACAGACCTGTCGTCTTCCGAAGGAACCACTTGTATATAGGTCTCACATAATACGAGACGAACAACCATATGTACGTGTACATTTCGACCATCGTCACCACAAGCTCACCACCTCTTGCTGACGCTACTGCTGCTACTGAAACGAATGCAATTGGAATGTAATCGATCTAGCAGGCGGATTGATAACCGCACATCCTCCACTCGTCGCCGCAGCACTCGTCGTTTGTCATAAACAGATTTGTTTGTATCCTTCATCCAGTAGGCGGGTCACAACGACGACGACGACGCGATCCTCCATTTAACGGTCCCTTTGAACTACTCTGAAAGCCAACTGCCAACTGCCAACAACCAGTCGTGCACGCACCGTACGTGCGTGTATAGGCAGCAATAGTTGCATCAACATTCAAATTCACACTACGTAACGGAGAAGATTAAATTAAAACTTTGATTTATTGTAAAATTGATATAATAAGAATAAAACAAATAATATATACATACAAAAATATTAAATTAATTAAAATATATATATATATACATACAGTTATTAAAATTTTTAATCGAGCCCCACACTACTAATACTACTACTATTACTTGAGACGTACAATCATGCTCGTTATCCTTGCGAGGAGCGGTTCGAAGATGTCGACGTCCAGATCGTTCCAGTTTCGTTTCAGCGTCGCTTCGACCAATTTGAAATCGGAGACGCCCGGTTCGTAACTGTCGACGCGCATCGTGAACACGAACATCGCCTTCCCCACGACCGGACTGAACTCATCGCACAGGCTGTGGAATGCTTGCGCCGCGACGCCAGGCACCCTCTCCAATCCTCTGACCACCATCACCGATCTCTCCTCCAGCTCCCTCCTGTACCTCTCGATGATCAGACCGTAATCTTTGTTCACCTCTATGCTCTGCAGTTCGCTCATCGGCAGATCGATTGCCTCCGTCCTCGATCCAGTCAGATTGCAACTCGCATAATTCGAGACCGTCGCAATCAACTCGTCGACAGCCGATTCGGTCAACTCACTGTACAGGAATAGAATAACGGATGGTTTTTCGAACTGCCTGCATTCATCTATTCCCACCCTCAAGTTGTCCAGTATCTCCCTGTTCTCGGTCAGCACCTCTTTGCATTTAGTTGCATCATGATTGAAGGATGTTAGGGAACTGCTGATGGCACCCGCAAAAATAAAACCAGCAATTATCCAATACCAACTGAAGCAGTTCCTCCTCTTAGGCTCACTCTCTGACTTGTCCCAACGAACGCACTCCAACACATCCATTGAATTGTCTTCATTTTCATACTCGGTGTGCTCTTCTTCCATCTCCTCTTCCTCCTCCTCAACCTCTGCCATCTCCTCATCTTCCTCAACCTGCCGCTGCTGCTGCTGCACCTCTTCTATCTCAAAGGGTCGTTGGCGCGGTGAATATCTATGAATGCTGTTCCTGCCACTCACCAGATTTGCCTGAAATCAAAACCAACCCAAACTATGAATTATATGTGCATCCATGATGATGAAACTCTTACCATCGTTCAAGACTTTTGACGACACGACGCTGCTTATCAATAAAACCGTTTTATTTGTACCTATTTGTACAATTAAAGGGAACTTCACAAATTTCGCCTTCACCTTCGCCAGGTATATAGCATGTTTTTTTTCTATCTCATGTTACTTTGACAGTTCGCGTTAGGCCACCGTGCTTGCTCGTTCCCATATAGGGTTGCATACGCTTGTCACTGACATTGATCAATTTTTGTTTTTGTTGTAATTTACTAATTATCTATTTTCTCTGTTTTAGCGGTTTCGAAAGATTTGTTTACCACCAATCAACGGCGAAAGGGTCACACGACCCATGAAACGCAAGAGTTACAACAATAACAACAACAACATCAACAGTAGCGGTAGCAAGCAATGATAATAATATAATTTAATTTGCTGAACCGCGTGACGTGATGTATAAATCCGTGCACGAGATGGCAAATTCCTGGAAAAAATTGCATCATCGGATATTTCTAACGTTGCACGGATGCTTTTGACGATGGTTGCAGAAGGGGTGAAGGGGGGGGGGTTNNNGGGGGGGTTGTTTGGTTGCCGTGGCGAAGAAAGAGGAGGAGGAGGCAACAACCAGCAACAACAACAACGCCATCGTCAACAATATCGTAACCATCATTATCGAAGGGGGCTTGCGCATGACGTATACTCGCTGGTGTGAAGGTGGGTGGAAGGGAAAAAGGCAGGAAGAGAACAGAAATGTAAGCAATTCAATTCAAAGGTAAGACGCACACACACACGCGCATAGAAACGCCTGCGCGCACAAGCCTTCTTAGATTTACATATAATATTATTGTTTGTGATTGCTGTCAGGGTGACGGAACGGAGGAGGAACAGCTGTCAGTATAACGGTGAGAAGAGAAAGAAGGATCAACCAACCAACCAACCAACCTTTTCCCCATAATACCAGGAAACGCTCACGCTGAGGTGGTGCATATACAAAAGGGTCCAACAACGAGAGCTACATGCAGGTTAGTTTCATCTTTCCATCATCTGTTTCTTTTGTTTGTTATCATTTTGCAAACGTTATCGTCGTCAACATAATCATCGTCATCGGTTTTGTTTTTGTTGCTACAACAATTGCACAACATGATCCTTATCGGCTTGACGACGACGACGATGATGATGATAACGCGATTAACGTAACTATACAACAACAATAAGAAACACGTTGTCGCTTTTGTTTTCGCGAACCAAAATTGGAGCACCCACCAGCACCACGATATTTGTCCGGTCTGTGCTGACATTGGATACTGCATAACGTCGTTGCTAAAGTACGTCTATCTGTGTTACTAGGACGATAAACAATACGTAGAACATATTGTACCTGCATCTTGCACGTTGCTAGGCAATTCTCGTAATGACGTTTCCGTGTAGATAACAACAAGAAAAGCAACAGGTAAAGAAGTATTAAAATGTAATTAGTAACAACAGCAGCAGCAGCAGCAGCAGCAATAATTACATCTTTAATCCGAGTCGCATTTTCTCGAACGATTTAATTAATATGCATGCGCTTTACTTTTTCTTTTCTTTTTTTTGAACTTTTTCTCGATTTGAAAAACTTGTCTTTTATCGCGCAAATTGATAACGCCAATTCGTATCGCATCTTCGCGATTGCGTGTCGTCTCGTTCAGAGGTAAATTATCGATGGTGGGAAAGAGAGAGCCTTGGACGACATATACGAAAGACACAAATTATATTGTACGGAATACAAAATATTTTTCTTTTCAATTTATCCTTGAAATTTTTAGTATTTTAGATGGTGTTTTTTTTTGGCAAGCAAATTATTCGTGTTTATGTGTGCGTGAGAGAAAGAGGGAGAGAGAGAGAGAGTGAAAATTGGAAATAGATCGAGTATAGAGTAGAGATAATAGGGATCAATGGGATTAAGTAGAGGAGCAGGCGTTGTTGTTGTTGTTGTTGCCATGGAATGCGCCAATTCGATAATGTTGAGAACTGTACGTGTCTCTTGGCTCTCTTGATTATATTACACAGACACACTCGCACATATATGCATGTAAAATAAGAAGAAGAAGAAAAAAGGAGTGATGTTGCAATAGTATATTTACTTGTAGATTGCGAAAACTGAATTTTATTGGTGAAATTTATCTCGCTCTCGCGATTAAATATCGCTCATTACATAATCAACAAACACTTTACGAAAAACATTTTGAAACTCGAAACAACGCAAACCACAAATCCTTTCTACTTTCAAATATAATACTTAATTGCCAATTTTTGTGTCGCAATCCGTTTTGGAAGAAGACAATGGTAATTTTTAGTCGAGGTAATTTGTTGTTGCCAAGTGGGGGAAACAACACAAGGCACAGAACAACACCGTGTCTTGCGTTTGCTTTTAGAGGAGGCATTTAGCTTTTAACGTTCGGTTCTGATCGGTATGCAAACTAATAATAATAATGATTTGATTGTGTATTTTGCAGGCGATGTCTGAGGTGGATCGGTGCAGCAGCAGCAGCAGTCATCATCATCGTCGTCGTCGTCACCGACGATCCTAACGACAGCAACAGCAGTAATTATATTGTCGTCAAGGAGATTGTTGTCAGGTGACGGGATTCGATTCAGATAAACGGAAGTGCGATGACGGACGGTGATGAGAGATCGCTTGGCGGAAGAGGAGGCGGTGTCGCAGGTGGAATATCTTTCCCGATGTGGATGAAATCGAACGCAAGGCGCAACAAACTGCAAGAGAGGTATTAATACTATTATGTCAAATCAACGGATTTGTTTTCATTTTTTTTTTGTATGTTTGTATGTTTTGTTGGAGGTCGTTCGTGAAAAGTTTTATTGCAATCACATGATGCGTTCTGCTTGCTGCTGGCTCGGCAAAAATAGAATCGCTCGCACTTGTTTTCCCACCCGACGCTGTTCTGTCTGCATTATTATGTATAGAATATGCGGCTCTTATTATTTGCTCAACGCGTGCGCTATTTATACGGGACGTAAGAGGATTTGGCTCTTAGTTTGATCCAAGCAAGAGCTCGTGCAGCAGAGAGTAGTAGCAACACCGCGAGCGCGCGCGCGCCACCTCTTTTTATCGTTCTCAGTTTGCAAATACGCATATTATTCGTGTACAAGTGTGCAAGAGAAGACTTTGTTGACCACATCGTTGACGAAAGAAGTGAAACGTCTTTTGGGCTAGATGCGTAAGAGGTTGTCAATAATTGCGCTTTCCTCGTCGATGGTCGCATTGATCAGCTCGTGCCGAGGAGTTTTACTCATGTACTACTACTACTATTATTACCACTGCTATTTATTTTTCATCTACTTTTGAAAATATGTTTTTAACCATTCTTTTTTCGTCTGCTTTAGATTAGACTTTGATTCGAGTGCCTTCTCCCCACCCGAGAACGACGACAACTTCCTCTGCATACGTTATCCGAGGAGACAGCAGAAGCAGCAAATCGCGGAGGAACCTCAGCTGCAGGTGAAGACGGTGAACGTGTCACCGGCAGGGGACATCATCACCGGCGGAAACACCGGACGCGTCGACATCACCAAGCACACGGCGCAGTGCAAGGACCATTTTTTCGGCAGAAAAGGTCAGTTTAATAACAAACATTTACATTTACATTCACATTTACCTCGACTCTCTCGCGCCAAATAGGTGACATACAATGGATATAATTGGATCAACTTATCTATAGCTGTATTTATAAACGCGTATAGATTATACTCGTCTAATTTCGAACTAACAACTGATCTCTTCTCTGTATATTGTCCGTATATGTCAATGATAAGAACAAGCTTGTATTTTTGGGAATTAGGCTGGGATTTTACTGCAGCGTTAGAGATTGATTGTTTTCGTTAATAATTCCTGTTTGGTAGTAGTTTCTATTTTTATATCTAGATACGGTTATATATATATATATATGTTCTGTTTGTTGTAGAACCGCAATCTCAAATCCTGAACTCCAACGGGAAACCAAAGTCGGCAGGGACGGATGACGGTTTCAAAGGATCGGGGGCTGCGTGCGGTACTTCCGTGATTCGCGTTGCCACTCAAATGGTTTCCGGTAAAGTTGTGAAAGGGTTCGAGACCTTCGAGGATGACGAGAAGGAGCACATGCAGACGATGGGATTCGACCCGAAGTTGCGCAGAGGCAGCAGAAGTCTTCCGGCGTCCCCGCTGCAGTCGCCATCCGCATCGCCGAAGAGCAAACGCAAACTTGCTGCAAACAAATTCTTTACCGGTGGCGGAGGAGGAGGTAGTTCGTCCGCTTACGCAGAAGACAAGAAGCCGGGCAGCATTCTCGCAAATCTTTTGGCCAAACGGGATCCGAATCTGTCGCGTTCGGTCAGCTCGGTGATCAGCGAGGAAGATGTCGCTGACAATCTCGCAGCTCGTCTTCAGACCCTCAATGTCGTCCCCAACGCAGCAGCAGCAGCAGCAACCACCACGGCCCACCAACCGAAGCCCTCGCATCTGCGAGAAATGAACTTTTGGTCGCCCACCTCCATGTAAAAAACAAACGAGAGCAATAACGACAACAGCAACAAACTAATTGTTTGTTTTATATAGTTGTTTGCTCCGTGCGTGCGCGAGTGTTCGGAAAAGACATGAATCCATCCGTTTCGATCGTTGTCGCGTGTACCTGATTTTTGTTTTTCTCTCTCTCTCTCTCAATTTAAATCTAGAATTATAATTAAACGTGTCAAAGAAGTTGCCTATCTATATATAGAGGAGCGCGTGATGGGCGGAGTCGTTTCGAAAAATGGGCGGGGATCAATGCGACGAAGATAATGATAATATTGCTGAATCATCATCCATCGCCAATCCTTCTTATAAGTTGATTTTCTTTAATTTACATTAATTTACATATTTTGGCTATCGTTGTAGGAAATTATTACTATTATTACTACTACTATTATTTTACTTTATAAATATTTATTTCTGTAATTTGTTTATCATTTTCAATTAATTTAATTCTTTTTTTTTTGTTTATTTCCTATTCATTTTTGGGGTTTATTTTGTTCAATCACTCCTTCACTATGTGAGCAATAAAAATGGGAAAAATTAAACAGAATATTTTTGAAACGTTTTTCTTACACGAAATCGAAGAAGAAAAAAACATTCGAGTGAGTTGTAAAATCAACAAATCAACACATATTAGGTTAAAATAAAACAAGCGATTTTAATGCTGCTATTTGTTTGTTTGCACATGTGTAGTGTGCATACAGTAAATACAAATATCTCTCTCTCTCTTTTCTTTATTATTAAATTGAAATCATCATCATCATTCATAATCATAATTATCAAGTCCATCTGCTACTCATCTGCGTCATCTCTCCCTCCTCAGTCCCATTCTACAGCTGCCCTCCTGGGAGTTGACTCATCGTCAACCCATCATTTCGATAAAAAATATATATACACATTATTTTTTTAATATGAATATAAAGTAATAACTTTAAAGCGATTTGTGCTTGTTCTCAGCTATCGCCGCAGGCACAAGGAACGAGATCGTAAAAAGTGTCTCCCTCTCTTATATCATTCATTCAACTCATCATCAACATCTCTCTTCTCTTGCACCGCTGCACATCTTTGCGCTTATTTACACACATTCTTGTTACCAAATGGAAATGGAATTGTTGCCTGCATTAATTCCCATTTGCTCTCGTCACATCCCCGTCCTTTCTGGACCACTCCGGAAGGAAGGAAGAAAATGTACGGACGGTTTTATGTTCGTCGGTAGTCGTCTACTCTCTCTCTCTCTCTCTTTTTCCCCACATTTGTGTTTATAACTCTTTTTCACTCTTTCTCACTTGCATTATATTACATTTAGTATCCACCTAGTATTGCAAGTGTTTGCGTTAATCTGTTCTTAGTATATATACAAAAAAAAAAATTGTTTAAACTTTGCGGACGAATCTGAAGGAGCTTCCAGAAATAGTTTTTTGTTTGTTTATTATTTATAAGCGCTCATCTCATCATCTCAACAACAATTTCATCAAATCGGGCGGAGGAGCAGCTTAATCCTTTTTCTGCTTAGTAAAATATATATTAGCTATTTGTGTACTTCCATTCATTCATTAATCGAAATCCATCTTCTTCCATCTCTCCTGATTATACACATACATACATAAATACATATGTATTTATATACATTCAAAAATAGGATTGTTCTTATCGTTATATTTCTTCCTCTTATTATCATAAGATCAAAAGAGCTGCATTCATGATGATTTATGGATTGGCATATTGCATTGGCACCGTTCCATCTTTTTTTTTTATCATTCTGATTTGTTGTTGGTTGCTGTTGCTGTTGTTGTTAATAAATCCGATAATTGCTGATCGTGAATATCTGCTGCTTTAAAAATTATGTGTTTTTGTAAATGCGTGTGTGTGTGCTATATGACATTTAATCATCATCAATCATCACTGTCTTCTTTGTCACAGATATGTACTGATATGATTTCGAGTGCGCTTCTTGAGTATACTTGTGTGTAGTAAGTATATGAATGTGCAGTTCTTTTTTGCCTCTTTCTGTTGTTGCTTCTGTAGATGTTATTTACTTGAGTCTCTGCGTGACGTTAGCCAATGCGACGGCGAATGCCTGCAATGCCGAGAACGGATACTGAAAGTCCAAGGTGTAGGCGTTTCCGTCGATCCTGCCGAACTGCATCACCTGCAACATCGAAGAAGAAAAATAGAAGACGTGCGTTCACTTTCCGATAATTATGTGACTTTTTATGTACGATTTCGGTCGCTGTTCGGTTGCTGCTGTTGCTGTTGCCGTTGCCGTTGTTGCTGTTTACTGCTTGCTTCGACCCTTTGAACTCGATCTGAAAGTTCTTCGCCGATTCCTGCGTCACCCTCCCACCGAAATCCAACTGATACACCTGACTGTTTTCATTCCACATCGGCGCCTTGTTGTGCATCACGAATTCACGTCTCTGCGGCTGCTGCACCGCAGTTACTGTTGTTGAAGTTGAAGACGATGTTGACGATGATGATGACGAAGAAGATGATGTTGTAGCTGTTACGCACTGATTACCACCATTGCCGTTACCACGTTTCAACTGAAAACGAAACGAAACGAATCATCATTACATTTCGCTGATTGATATTTCATTGTTTAACGACCTTTTGCCGAAGCTGTGCCTTCTGGAATGTCTCTAGATTGCGATAATTCGTGCCGTTGCAGACATCGTCTCCACCTCCACTTCCACCTGTATCGGTTACCTCGTCGTCGGAACTTTCCAGCAGTCTGTTCTTCTTGAAACGTCTTCCGCCCAGGAGCGGCGAAGACAATATGTGCTTGCGTATGGGCGAAGCGGATTGCGGTCTTTTACCTGCAATAATAAAACAAATAATTAGATATTGAATTGTCATTATCATCATCTTTACTTTACCTTTTTTGCAGGGCGCCGGCGAAGCCGGTGAACTCCTCGGCAAACGTGGTGACGTCGCAGATGAGGATGTAGAGGTTGCTGATTTTCCGCTCTCCTCTCTCAGACGTGTCAGAAGATTCTCGAGGGTGATGAGGGCGTGCGTGTGTAACGATAAACCACTTCCACCACCCTCGTAACCACCGTTCTTCTTGCTCTTGCTCTTCTCCTTGCTGCGACTCCTGCTTTTCTGTTTACCATCATCTTCAGTGTTTTGCGTTGGTTTCTTGCGTCTCATCAGAGGGGATTTCGACACGAAGAAACTTAATTTGCTCTCTTTTTTGGTGGCTGCAGTAATGTTTGTGCTTGTTGCTACTGCTGCTGCTGCTGCTGATGGAGTTGGGACGGCGGGCGATGTTGGTGCGGATGGCGCAGGTGGATGAATTTGTTCTTCGACAGTTCCCTCCGTTCTACTCTCCTCTTTGGACGGTTTCGATGAAGTTCCGTGAAAGATATCGCTAGAGTCTAAACTTTTAGATTTCCCGCACGTCTTCAGATCCGGAGGTTTCGTATTGGATTGGCACCTCCTCTGCTGCTGTTGTCTTCTTTGCTGCTGCTGCTGCTGATGATGATTGCTGTTGTGTTGCTGCTGCTTCTTGCGATTGACCAGCACCAATCTCTTGGGAACGTCTTTTCTCAAGATGAGTAATGCCACCTCGTTTGATACCGTCTGCGCCTCGTCCACCATATCCAAATAACCGACGCTGCAACTCCTCACCATCGAATCGGCTATGAGCATCGGACGAGTCGCGTTCGTCGATGGTCCTGCGGCAGCTTCCTCTTCCACGAACCCCGCTTTCTGCTTATCCTTTCTTCTGACGCTCGAATCTACGCTGATGCCGGTGTTCAACTTTCTCAGCAGAGATTTGGTGGTGGTGGTGTCTGATGATTGCGCGGAAGACGTCGAGCTGCTGTTTCGAAGATGATGGTGGTGGTGGTGATTGTGGTGGTGGTGTTGATGATGATGATGATGATTGTAATCGTTGAGGAAGCTCGTCTTCATCGATTGCACTCCATTTTGGTAATCGGATATGAGCGTTTGCGCTGGTGGTCGTTCAAAGATAATGTCACTTGGGGCTACCGCATTCTTCGGAGATTGAAGTGTCGGAACCACGGAACCTTCGCAATACAGTGGAGATATCGCGTGTCTTTGGCTACCCACTCCGACGAAGCTGGTTGTGGTTGTTGCCGTCGTCGTCGTCGTAATCGTGTTTTGTAAAAATAGTTGACTATTATTATGGTGATGATGATGATGATGGTTGTTGTTTGCTGCAGAAGTAGAGGTGCGCGTTAATTCGACATAAGGAAACTCGTCCTCGTACGATTCGGCTTTGGCCAATGCCGGGATCAGAGGTTTGGGAGTCGAATGTTCCGTTGTCGTCGTCGCGGCGGTTGTGTTGATATTTGTAGTCGCTTTGGAGGACCTGGCAAATCGTCCGTTCAACGGTGACATCGGTGCGATCGGCGGTGAATTGTCAATGACCGATGACGACGTCCTCTGAATGCGCGACTTCTCCTCGAGCTGAATCAGATCCTCTTCATCTTCGGAGAAGAGGTTCGGATTGAAGTTGGGATCGGGACCGACGGGGAAATCGTCTCGCAGCTCGGTCATCATCAGTGTCATCTGTCTGGGCTGCAGATGGAGGAGCGACGTTTTGTACGTGACTTGACCGAGATTCGCCGGAACGGAATTGTCGAGTCCGTGGATCTTGAATTTAGTGCCCCAGATGTTCGATGTCACCTCGACGAGACGCACGTGCTGCAATAATATCTCTTCATGTAACATAACAACAACAACAACAACAAAAAAAACGGGAAAAACAACTCACTTCGGGTAATGTATCGACGTATGCGAGATCCTCCAGGTCTCCGGCATCGCCCGAACTGCTCCTTCCTCCTCTTCCTCCACCACCGGATTGCTTCTCAGACGGTAACCTCTGGTATTTGTTGCGTCTCTTCCTTCGTCTCTGCATTCGCGGCGAAGCGGCACATCCACCGCCGCCCTCGTCACGATCGCTATCAGAAGAATCGCTTGCCAAATTACCGCCGCTCGTCGATTGACTCGATGAGCCGGAACTCTTTGAATCCGGCGACCACTGAAGGAGAGTTGCCGAGGATGATGATTGTTGCGACGATACAGCAGCCGCAGCCGCCGCTGCCGCCGCCGTTGATACTGCTGCAGGTGATGGCGACGGTGGCGCGGTCGAGCAGGACACGCCAAAGACGAGGAGATCTTCGTCCTCCATCTGCGGATCGAATATAACGAATTCCGGTCGTATTTTGCTCGTCCTCTTCCCTTTGAGCAACGGCACCAATCCACCCAGATACTCTAGATACAGGGTGTAGCAGGTACCGGTCGAGGCGCTCGTCGAATCCTCATCATGCCTGATCATCGTGCAGTGCAAACGCACCGAACCGTTCGGTGGTCGAGACACGAATTCCCGAAGAGCGCTCGTACCAGGAACGCAGCACTATACCACCAGTTATTTATTAGTTATTATTAATAATCTGTATACATACTCATCATCAATTATTTGAGATGTTGTTGTTGTTTGTTGTTCACTCACACGTATCGTCTGCGCAAAAAGATTTCCGATGAGATTCCGAATCCTCGGCGGCAACGGCAATTTCGAGACTTGCGCATCGCTCCTGATGGATCCGTGAATTTGCAGTCTGCAGAGGAGCTGAAGGGTGGCGATTCGACGGGAGATCCACGCGATGTGAATCTGCGTTCCGGTTGCGACGAAGAGTCTTTTATCGTTGTGGCCCCAGGTCATCGCGGTTACTGGTCCTCCACAAACACCACCTACTCCTCCACCGCCCTAAAAAAAAAGAATTACTTTTGCTGTTGATGTTATCATTATTAGTACCTGAACGTTTGGAATTGGTACGGCGTAGAGGAGTACACCTCGATCGTTATAAAACTTTAGTTGATTGAGGACGTCTTCCTCGTCAGCGTTATTGTTGTTGTTGTTGCTGCTGCTGTTGTGGTGATGGTGATCGTCGACGTTGTGTGGATGATGACGGTTTAGATTTGATCTGCTCGAGACTCCGGCGACGGCTAAAAGTTCTCTGGAATTGCTCCACTCCATGCAAACAGGTCCCTGCATCTGCGTATCTACCTGAACCGGTGAGACATCGTCGAAGGTCTTCAGTAGATAGATGTATCCGTTCTGAAGGCCGACAGCAAGCACGAACTTTTTCTCTGCCGACGGAGAAGGAGGCTGAGATGGTGGTGGTGCTGATGACTGAGGATACGACGATAGATACGATGAATCTGCTGCGTTGCTGGTGTTATTCTGGTCTTCACCCTCTTCCATTTTAAACTTTTCGCAGCTCCAGGCCATCGACGCGATTCCCACGTCAGCAGTGAGCTGCACCTGAGAGACCATCGCACCGTGCACGTCCATCACTATGATTTGTCCGGTGTTTGTGCCAAAGTAAACCTGCTGATCGTCCGGCGTCCAAATGCCGCACGTGATCGTCGCTTCCAAATTCAACATCGAAGACCAATACCTTTGACCAGCCACAGATCCGACAAGCACGAAACCATCCTTTTGAATATATAAGTATATGAATCATATATATATACATATATCAAGTACATTTATACAATTTTATCATACCTGATAGCAGATGAGGGCCATCCTTCCGTCGTGCGACCACGAGAAATGCGTGACCGGTGTATTTCGATCGTTGATCAACTCGATGGACCATCGACCCTCGTATTTGATCCACACGAATATTATGCCGGAACTGTCGCACGATGCGAGCTTTTGATATGGTTCGTTCCATTTCACCAGTATCACCTACATAATAATATTCATTAGCTCGCTCGCAATGATCAATAATCATTTTCATTTCATTTCTCTCACCTCCGATCTGTGACCGCGCAAATTGTAATTTGTTCTCAGCGGAAAATCCACGTTCTTCTTGCAGTGACTAGTCGTGAACGTCACACCGACAATTCCACGGATATTTCCAGTTGCGAGCCAACCCTCCTGATAGTAATTCGTCCTGTTCAATTTCCATCCTTCATCCTGCAAATCATAAAACATTCATTCAACTACTAAACCACTGTTACCACAACTAACTATACGATCATTATAAAATAACAAAGAAGAAAATGTTCAATTGTTAGAATTAATTGAATTGGCATTGTACAGAAGACGAATGCCTCGTCCTTTTGTATTTTATCGTTTGATCTCTGCATCTCAAATATGTCCCATTCCAATTGTGCATTGTGCACCGACTGCAACCAATATTTCATTCGATTTTCGACAGAGTGTTGATGTTTTTGTAGGTGGATCGATTTCGATTAAATATGTGTGTGTGTATGATGCGCTCCAATTCCCTACTCGACATCCTCGCGCTTTTTTTTAATTAACTGTATTCTCGTTCTCATCTACTTTATTATCTGTTGAATTAGAATCGTCTTGTTATAAGAAGAAGGAGAGAAAGAGAGATATGAGAGCGATGAAGTTGTTGGTGCATTGCGTATCATGAATTCACATGCACACATATACACCAAGCCTCCCCCTTTTTTTCTCTCCCAGAAGCACACTCTGATTATTCATTTTCAAGTAAACCCTCCACTCTTTCGACCGATACAAATAATAGGTGAGGTGGAGTGAGTGAGTGGCAGGGAGAACGAAATTACTTGTTCTTCGTTTCGTCTCGCCGTTATTGCTGTTGTCATATATCTATGCTGCATGACAAAACGCCCGGCGCTTCCACCAAAAACAATTGCGAATAATCGTTGTTCTTTTTAGCACAGCATGATCATGTTGAATCCCGGAAGTATTGAGGACGGTGGAAGAATGCTGCACGTAGGTATATATGATGATGACGACGATGATGATTTGGCGAGGTTGCGGGCGGTCGGAAGGGCGAACAAACTGTGCGCGCGCGCGCGTGCGAAAGAAGAAATGAGGGTGGAAATCGATAGATGCGGCGCCACACGATATGGTCTCTCATCCATATCGACGGACTGACGACGTTCTTCCTAATTGCAATGAATGATAAAAATAATGAATATACGCACTACCTCTGGCAGTTCGTCCGGCACCTTGCCCATCCACGTCAGCGAGAGGATCGAACAATCGCTTCTCGCGTTTACAGTCTTCTCGAAATGCAGATGCATCTCTTCTCGAAGCAAAAGCAACAACAAACAAACACGGGACGACGACAACGACGACGACGTATAATTAATCAATGAATGCACGACCACCCCGACGTGCCACCGACAAACAAATTCATAATAATTATTATTATCTTCATCATATAACAATAACAACACTCGCGCACTGTTCTTTCACTTTTTCAACTCTTCACTAAAATCGGATTTAAACTAAAATATTCGCTCTACCCACTAACACCATCTCCACCACCACAACCAACAGCAGCACCAATAAATAAAGAAAAAACTAATGATTCTCCTTGACTTCTCTATATTGATTTCGCGATGTTGCGGGACGATTGTGAGGGAAGGAACAGTTATTCTTTTCGGAAGTGGCTACGTCGACGACGAGATGATCGTGGTGGTTGCGTCGTTTGCAGGTTGAAGAAGAAAACCAGCTCCGATCGCTCCGGCAGCGGCAACGGCAGTGGCGCAATTTCGACCCTTCGCAGTGCGCAGCAGTGTTCCGTTTTTCTTTCCTTCTTTCTAACATTCGTTGAATTTCATCCGTACGTCCGTCCGTCCTTCCGACCGCTGTCCTTTGACAAAAGTTAAGCAGTGTGGAAGAAACACTACCACCACCGCTACTGTTCGTTCTCATCAAATCATAACGTTTTCTCATCATCTCAGAAAATCATAAGGTTTTTTTTTTGGGCAATTTCTTCAGATCGTAGCAGGCGACTTGATTACAGCACGAAGATGCCAGAAGGCTCGTTTGAAAGGTGAGGTGAGCTGCATAACTTTATCGACAACTCCTTAAGATAATAACATCATCGACCACTCGTATGAAACCTGAATGTGTCACTTTTCTAATGATTCAACTAGCATCTTCGTGTTGCTGCCGGAACTCCTGCTATGACTGAAAAAAACAGAAAAAAGACGTCTGTTATAACCAGAAGAACATTTTTTTCTCGTTTTTAGGGGTTGTCGAGAAAATCACAAAAAACTGTAAAAACTGAATAAAAAACGAGAAAAAAATGTTCTTCAGCTTATAACCGGCGACTCGATGAGAATACAAGGATGTATATAAGCGCGTTGGAAAGGAGAGATCTTCATCTTTCATACGAGTGGTCGATGATGTAACTATCTTAAGGATTTGTCGAGAAAATCACGAAAAACTGTAAAAACTGAATA